TCAAATAGTGCTCACACTTGGGTAGAATCAATTTTCAAAAACTCAATGATCCAAATTGTGCTGCACTATCTTACCAAGTGATGTGGTATAGTTTAAGTTATTAGATCTTTAAAAATCGGATCTACCCAAGTTTTGATCGGCTTAAAAAAGACAGGGAGAAAAAGGGGGGACTCAATAGTTGTACAAGAAACCTTATTAATATTCCTAACCGTTGGATTAAACATGTAAATAGCGAGTCAAATTCACTATTTGCCCATCCAAACCCACAAAATAAAATTATAGTACAAAGATAAGTCCAAATATAAACATTTAAATTGACGACTTGCATGTGTTTCAAAGATGTGTTTTAGGAAGGTTCGAGTCCAATTAATTGTTATCTTCTGTGATCCAATCTTTCCAAGATACGTTCCATATGTGATCCGAAGGCCCAATTTATTTTTTATTTGAATCACGTAATATTTGTTGTTAGCCATAAAAATGGAAAAGGAGAAAATAAAAATGTAAGAGTACAGATATGACTCCAGAAGTTCAAAAAGTACCCATTCCATGAATATAGGGCAAAAAAATCATCATCTCTCACATCGAGCCGAACCAAATTATGTATTATACACCTAAGAATAAAAAATAAGCACAATAAAAGAAGGGGATGGCCTAATACAATATTGTAATCCCCTGAATTATATAGATGTTTCGATGTTAAGAAATTGAATTGAGTTTTTGTTCAGTGTCCTTCACAAAAAGGTAGAAGAATCCAATTCAGCAATACCAGCCAATGCAATACGTATGCGCATACATAATACCAGTCCATTAGTTTCGTTTAGCCCAAAAATAAAAAATTAGAAGAAAAAGAAAGGATTCATCTATTTGCCAATTTTCGAATTTTGTGCATTAGTTCGATAGATTAACATCAGAATTTGATGAAATCTTTTCTTCTTACACGTTCTCTCTATGCATCGGTTCTTCACGTTCTTTCTGCTTTCTTTCTATCCTCAATCTTCTCTTCATCGTTCTTCCTTCATAGAAGAGAAATCTTGATCTCAAGTTAAGTCTTCCTTCTTTTTCTTTTATTTTTTGTGTTATGTTTTATAAAGTCTCTCTTGAGAAATTCTTGTCAGAATTTTTGCTCTCCTAATGTTTATTAGTGAGGATTTTCTTCTCTTCTATGCTATCCTAATAGGAATTTTTTTTTGTTATTTTTCTCAAATCTAAGAATTTTTTCACATCCATATGTTGGATTTGGAATTTCTTAAATCTTCTCGTCATATTTCAGTATCAATTTTGAACTTGAACCAGTTGGATAGTAGATTTGAAAGAATAGACATGCACAAATATTTATAGAACAGCTCGTGCAATTGGTTATATTTGATAGTTTGTGATTCATAGTGTGATACTTCTTATTTTGTAGTTCTATTAAATTTAATGATTTTTCATATCAGAGATATATTTCTGATGTATTCTTTGTATTTTCTGCAATTAGCGCATCTTTTTTATCAAATAAATTGTGCTGGACAATTTTTAATTAGATTATTAATAATATTGACTTCCATTTTATCTGAATAGAAATTAGAATAAAAATACTACAATTTTTTTGTTTTTTCTTGCAAATTGGCCATTTTCACTCTGATATTCCCTCGTGACTCCATCTAGCCTGGATGAATGGCAGGCTAAGGATGATTAACAACCAAACCTCCGTTGCACGCTTGCATTGCTCAAGAAAACATTTTTTTTAAACAGGAAAAGAATGAAATTTAAGAAACAGGGATGGAAGAGAAAACGGGAGATTAGAACGGAGAGAAAAACATCAACTGAATCAAACTAACAATATAATTCACGGTCACTTTTGTGTAATAAGTTGTAACCCCTTAAACTATACATCATTGTTAACCCTTGAGAGAATCACAAGGATCGATCATGCCCTTCACAAAAAATTATGGAAATTCCCACCAATTTTATTCATTACTAAGGTGTTTCACCATCTTTCTGAAGTTTTTAATCATTTGCAGGCGCAATAGTTGGAAGGACATTTGTAGGAAGAGCAGGAGCACTGGGAGGGGGATTCTTACAGCCGCAATAGGCACAAGGACAACTGCACACGCAAAATATATATTTACAGAATTTGTTCTTTAGCTCAGAAGCATAACCATCATTGGAGGTGTTAAGTTTTGGGTGCTCAAAAGGGAAGACTCTCAATTTCTCAGGCGGGGCGGCCCCGGGTTTAGCCACCTCCACAGCTATGCCGAAGTTTAACCATTGAGGAAAAACCAGGACAAGTGAAATTACTATCATTTGCAGGGATATTTTGTTCATGTTGAAAATGGAAAATTTTCACAATAGGAAGTATAGAATGAAATTAAGAGTTAGATAAAGATGGATTTATATAGGCTTAGCAAGACTGGTCTTTATCAGGAAGACTAGGGGGGAATGCCCACGAATCGCGCGGGTGTTTGGCGTGTATGGTTAAAGATGATTTTTTAGCTGTCTGTGGTATGCAAGTAAATGAAGATAAATATAAGATAACAGTGCATATTAAGTGATATTACGGAAATATAGCTACTACCAAAAACCATTGTGAAATGCTGAGTGTAAAGGCTAAAAAAATAACACAGTCCTGGAAGCCGAAATAGGGAAAACAGAAGAATGTGAAGGAGGAAGAATTAAAAGAGCCATAATTGATACTCGGACAATAACTCAGCAGCATGCCCACATTTTATGGCCGTTTAATTGGGATGTAAATAGTGTTTTATTGCTAGTAGAGAAGCTATTTCAAATGGTTGAGCTTCAGACATTGGAAAGCAGGTGTTGATATAATTATGAATATTTCAGACAATTGAAATAGAGTTATACTGCAATTATTGAGGTTAACATCAAAGTGACTCTATTTTAATTGCATAATAACCCAATTGCAGTAATTGCACAAAAACACACGCTCATATGAATTGGATCAAATGCACAAATGATCGCCAAATAAATCCACATTCCACAAACACCCAAATGTCTCTATAAATACAAGTTTTAAATGTACAAACATAGGGGCTTTAATGTAATAACACCCGAACACATGCTGCAATAGTTGACAGTTGTACCAAAAGCTTGAAAAAAGCAACAAATTTTTCAATTTTCCAAAATGCCCCGCGCATGTGGTTGAAATTCAACTCCTTTTTGACCAAAATTCAATCTTATATAGTATAAGGAAGACTGTTCTATTTAATTATTGAGCAGATAGTAAATTTGATTCACAATAAATTTATATATGGTGCAGTTAATAAGATAGAAGAAATAAACTTTTCTTTTTTTTTTTTGGTTGAAGTATTGTCAAAAATCAGATACACAAGAGATTTTTTTGGTTTTAAAAATTAAAAACTCCATACCTAACAAAGGTGAAGGAAAAAGGAGAGAACTTGATAATAGAATTAAGAACCTAATTAATATTCCTATTAACTGAATCAAATATGTAAATATCGAAAATCCGATTTACTATTCGCCCATCTATATATCCACCAAAAAATGTTATAATATAGAGATAATTCCACATTTTAACATCTAAATTTACATGCCAGTTTCAATACTAATAAGTTAAGTCATTAATACCAATCCTACAACACATAAATGCATCAAAGATGTGTTTTGATGGCGCTATCTCAAATGAAAAAGGAGTTGATGGAGTCAGCGTTATGGTAGGTTAGGTGAATGTTAAGTGTGTTAACGAGTGTCCTAAAGGCACCCATTAGAAAAACCCATAAAAATTTCTTTGTTTTTTTTTTTATTTAAAGAAAGGTATGTTTCGGGATGGTAGGAGTCCAATTAGGCAATTAAATCTATGATCCGAAAGCCCAATTTATTTTTTAGTTGAACAACATAATATTAATACTTGTACTTGGCATAAGCCAAGCTATATATGTGATTACCATAAAAAGAAAAAACGAAAAAAGGGGGAAATAAAAATGTAACAGTACAGATATGACTCCAGAAATTGAAGAAATATCCATTCCATGAATAGAAAGAAAAAAAAATCATCATCATCTATCTCATTGAGGCGAACCACAATTAATTGAATTCAGAAGGCTCTCTACGTCATATATCTAAGGATACAAGATAAACACAGCAAATACACAACATTATAACATTATCATCTATTCTTGAATTATAGCTAATTTTAGTGTGAAGAAATTTAAACTTCTGCAAACAAGGTTTCTACCTGTCAATGCATATGCGTACACTAGTCTAATAGTTAGTTTATTCCCAGAACCGGGCATTTTATTTCGCCAATTTTGCTCATTACTTGATAGATACTCGTTACAGAATCTGATGACAGGGCTGTTTTCTGAAAATTGGCTGTTATCCTGTCTCAGATATTGCCCTGTGACTCCATACACTCTTGCGTTGCTAAAGATTCTTAATCGAAAGCCTTCGAGCGATACGAACAGTAAATCATCTGGCGAATGCTGTTTCCCCTCTCCATCTTCTTCATCTTCATATCCATCTCACCTATATTTTGACATTCAACGCAGCAGAAAGGCCTTCTTATCTTCATGTCCTCGTCGTCTCGAAGAGGAATTGTGATCCAAGATGAGAACGCCAGCAACCCCTTTCGATCTTCCTCAACTTCGGTTGTGTTTGAATTGCATTTTCCGTCATTTTTCATGAAAAAATTACTATAGCGATTTGATATATGTGAGGGAAAAAGGTGATAGGAAAATGTAATCACGAAAAACGACAATATTTTTCGACGGAAACAAGCAATCCAAACAAGGCCTTCGTCTTCCTCTTCTCCTGTGTATAGTTTGATTACCAAAAGATGCCCTCCTATCGTTCAAACTCAACCCCTCTGTTGTTTCTTGATTTATGTACCTTTTTTTGGTCCAAAAAAGTTTGGGCAGTTTCTGTGTTTTGTCGAGTTCTTTGTGATTATAGAGTAGATTCTCCTACGTAGCATTGGAATATGAAATAGGCTATAATGTCTTATCCTTCTAGAGAAACAAAATTTATTGAACTCAGAAAGAACAGACAACGCAATGAAAATACATATATACTAGGCTATTAGCTCTACTGCCCAAAAAACAGATTTATCAATTCGCCAATATCTGGAAATTGCTTGTCCCTTGATACATATACATAATAACAGGCTTAGGAAAAACATCATTCCAATCATTCGATAGTAAAAACAGTACAGAGCTGCTGCTTTCCATAAATTCACCATCATCACTAACATATGCTCACTTTCCACAATTGAACCCCTTACAGGCAGAAAGGATTATAATGAGAATCAAGGCAATCACAATAGCTAACACAATCAACTTGACCTTCATGTTCTGCAACCACATTTTCCTTCGCATTTTGGTTCCTGTGGTCCTGAAATCCTGAGCCTGTTCCAAGAATTAAAAAACCGTAAAAAAATGCATATCTGAGCTGTCATAATGTCAATGCTTGATCAGCTCCAGAAACATGAATAGCATTCTTGGAGAAAGAGCTTGATAAATCCACATCCGCAGAAACAACAAATTTCTGATTCAAGTAAAAGTGAGAACGGAAACAAGACATCAACTTCAATAGGAGTAAAACTGAGCAGCTTGGTGCTCAATCATTGACTCTGTAAAAGCTGGCTCATCTTAATTCTTTAAAGATTAGGATAGAGCAAGGCAAGGCAACAAAAGACAGCAACTTTGAGCTAAATAGCCCTTCACGGAAAATCTCAAGAGCCAGATCAAGCCTCTATAGCTATTGATTGCAAAAATAGTATAATATATTGGTTCCTTTTAAGTCCCTAAAATTTATAACTTAATTGTTAAGCCCCAATTCTCACCATCTCTCTTCACCCCTGTTAGTACTAACCAACATCGTTTCCTCCAACTTCTCTCCTCTAACAAATTGCATCAGATTGGAACAATAATCAATGAGCGTCTATTCTAGATAAGTGAATCACAAAAGAATAGAAAAACATTTTAGCACACAAGACGGGCAAATGAGCAAAAACTATCAATCACATCTAAATCTCCCCACGATTGGGGGGAAAATAGAGGAATTCCGATTTCACTCTATTTTTTAACTTTTTTACTATTGGGACGATGGTTGATGGGGTATAACATTGTCAACTGCCTATCTCTCAATTCTTTGTTGATGTATTAATACATCATGAAATTCTATTGTATATCAAATCCAACTACAAAAGATTTCTGCAACTTTGCTTCTCTAAGGCTTGCATTTAGAGAGAAAAGGAGAGAAGGGGGGGGGGGGTGGGGGGTTTGGAAAGAGACAAACCAAGTGGAGACATTAGTCAACCCATTTGTCACGTCAAAGTTTTGAGCTACATAATAAAACATTTCACAATAGAGTTAATTACAACATACACCCCTAGAAGAAGACATATTTATCACTTTCCCCTGATTGTCCAACTAAATTAAATCTGCACCCTCAGCTTTTCAATTTCTCTCAATGCAACATGATCAACATAGCAAACCTAGATTCTATCTGTTTTTGTCATATCAGTATCTCAAGGAAAGGGGAAATATGCCTTCAATTAAATGAACAAGCACCAATTTGGGCATTTCTGACAGCAAAGCAAAATCTTCTTCTATTTTAATGGAAGGCATATTATTCTTTCCATTTTCATGCATGTGAAATTACATGTTTCTCCCCCTAAATTATTGCTTTAATTGAGGGCCTACATGTCATTTCTGCTAACAATATGCAACTAAAATGATGATGTAATGTTCAATTTACGATGCTGGTTGACGATGTCATATTGAGAAAAATGAAAGGCCTAGAGGCCGCACTAGTATTATTGGACAATGAGGAAGACGAAGTGAGAAGCATGTACTTTCACAGGTGCATTTTGCAATTAACCCTTGACAATATGCCAATTATAGTAGCAAATACATCATCATCAGGCAGACAAGATTATGGCCCTTTAACATTAACCCATCCAACATATGCCAGTGAGGGTATACATGCCTCACAAAAAAAGAACGATAAGGAAAGAAAATCATAGAATAAGAGAGATAGATTAGAGGGGGACCAAGACACAGGAAACAAGGTACCTGCTGATGAAGGTTCTCAGTCTTATCCACCAGAAGTTCTATCTTTTCCCCACGATCAAGAACCTAAAACAAAGCACAGGGAAACTACCATTACTTTAGTGACCCATCAAAATTTCCTTTTTGATAGAAAAACAGAATAAAGGAAAAGTTAAATTCCACACGAAACATTTTAAATGCTTCAGTTGACTCCCAAAATTACTGCTGCCCCACGTGAAAAAAGAAGGAAATGAAAACAAGAGAAAGGAACAAAAGAGAAGAATGAGTCTGCCAGTATTCTACATAGTAAAGAAGGTAACGAATCTGGATACAATGCACATACATGAACTCAAAAGAAAGTTTGCAGAAGAAACCAATTCATAGAATCTACTTTGAGTGTATATTATATGCAGAGAAAAAAAAAAGAACCAAATTAAAAGGAAAAAAGATATGTATTCCTTTAGAATAAGGTGATTACTACAACATGCTTGTTAAATTACAGATATGCCCCTCCCAACACCAACCACAACCCAAAGGTGCCAAAACAAATTAACCAGTTGAAGGTTATCCACAAATACTTTAACGGCGAAGAAAAAGTTGAAAAAGATTCAGATATCACATACTCATGTAACGGTTAGCATGCACAATCAATGAGAGCCTGAAATTTACTCCAATTGTAGAAGATGGTTGGTGATGTGACAAAAGAGGGGCCTTTAAAGGGGAATTTTCTAACAGATAGAACCTTAATTATCATCCAAGCTACTGATACAGCAGCTCAATAAACTGTTAATGTTTCTCATGTTGATACCACTAGAGTTCCCACAGGTTAATATTATTATGATCACATTCATCACCATTCTGCCCCATCATATTACTTTAGCACATTGCACCAATTGTGAAACTGATACAACCAATTCTCAAGACTCTACAACATTTGACAAGTATGAGTAGCAATTACTACAATATAAACACAGTACAAAGAATATAGTGAACTTGCCGATTGTTAGCCCAAACAAAGAGAGCCATTTCTGTTAATATCTCAAGTATCATGCTCAAATACTATTCTATTAGATAAACATATGAACCATCTTTTACACCTTTGCTTTGAATATATATGCAATAAACAAGAAATCCACTGCAGTCTATAAGATCCTTAATATCACAGGTCATATTACATAATGCATGTCTTTTCATCTTTTAAGTGATTTTCTTTTATCATATGACACAGTCAAAACAATTTCAGCCAGCAGACAGTCTTCAATCTGGCATATCTAGGATACTGATCAACCAGTCGAAGAAAAGATAAGGATCAATGAGCACATTGCAATTACCTTCTCAATGTTTTCCATCATAACACCTTTAACTTCAGAAACCTGAGCTTTGACTTTAGCAAGTTTGCTTATCTCCTCTGGATGATCCATGCAATACTTCATATGGTCCTTCAACTTTGGACTGCACATAAGAATATGTTACTGCACATAAGAATATGTTACTGCACATAAGAATATGTTAAATAAGTTGATAAACACCAAAAGTTGCCATAATATAGCATCAGACAGATAATCATTGAATACCCAAATTCCTTATTAAGCCCATTGGCTGGAGCTGTTGTAGCCTTCCCACCGCCATACTTGGATACAAAGTCATCCTTGACACGCTCCAGAAAAGCTATGGGGATCTGTCTTCCAGCTGATTCTTCAGCAACCACACAATATGCTGTAAAAAATACAGAGTTCTTTAACCTCTATATAAATAACAGGTCTTCTGATGTAATTGAGGAAACAACATAAATTACTGAATCAACGACTGCAAAGGAGCACTTTGAGCTGAAATAGAGCATGTGACAAGAACTAGACATCTGAGGACTGAGGCTAAGGAATCCCTTGTGGAAGTTCATGAAAGTAAAGCCATTGAATCCACATCAACATAGCAACATAGCCATGTATAGCAAAAAAACCTTTTTCAATTAGAATATTCATTATGGATTATAAGAACCAATAAATCACATATTTAATAAACAAGAATTAGCTGGCATGTGAATTTTTTTTAATTTCCTTCAAAATAATCTCCAGAACATTTGATCTTACGATGCTAACATATAACTTGATTCACACTTAAACCAACCCTCGACTGTAGCATGAGGGCAGTTGTGAAAGAGAAGAACATTGGGTGGGCAACAGAAGTTTGACAGAGAGAGACAGACGGGGGAACATTAATAGGCACACCAGTAACCAAAGAAAGCCAAAAAAAGGGTAAATTAGAACAAAAAAGAGTGACTAAGAGAAGCATCTTCAGCTTACTTCCAGGTAATGAAGCAACATGTCTTACAGGAGCCACTCACTTTTACATATATACATAAAAAGTAGAGGAGAGTCTTGGTTGTTTTGAGAATGTACACATACACAAGTGGCATGCAAGACAGACTTAACAGAACAAGACAGGAGAAGCCTGAAGATTCAACGGACACAACTTAGGATTAGGTTTCAAATTTCCAATCTTCCACTTTGCAGTAGATCAGTTTAAATAACTTAACTAATTAAACAGATTCTACTGCATTCCTACTAGTTTTGAAACACTGAAAAACAACTTTTCTGACATAATAATGAGGCATTATTTAAAAGACCTTTAACGGTATTGTTAATAAAAAGATCTACCAAAAAAACTGTGTCTGATAAAACTTCAAAAATGAAAACAGAAAAAAAAACCCACCCCAAAGTTTCTTAATGGCTTTAAAAATCCAACACTAGACAGCATGAGTTTATTGGCTGGCTTTTTGACTGCCTCAAAAATTTGAATAGAGAGAAAACCGTAGCTATCCCCAGAATCCTTGTTTGCACCGTGGAAGTATAGAATGGTTGACGATTCCACGAGATTATTATTTCCCTTTCGTTCAGCGTCATTAATAATGACAGTACAAGGCCAAATAGTCAACAGTGTAACTTACTGTCCAACTTGTAGAACTTTTCATTTTTTTTTAGTGACAAACATCATAAATATGATTGTGATTTTGCAATGAACCCTGTTGTGGAACATGCGGTCATTAAGTATAACTTTCTGCCACAAAAATACAAGCACATAGATCATCATTAACTTTTTAAAATTGACCAAGTACAGAATCCAACTCTTACCTGATTTCACGGCATCTATTCCAATTTTCTTACTCTTAGAAAAGAACTCAATCAAATACTTCTAAAAATCAATGGGAGAACAGAAGTTGCACACGTCAACAAATGCATGCCACATTATTTCCATAAAATACACGTAACAAGTTTCTGTCTGTTCTTCACTGGATCTGCATAGTGTTATCTATCCTTGAACCTAAGAAGCCATATGTTGCACACGTCAACAAATGCATGCCACATTATTTCTGTCAACTACACGCAACAAGTTTGTCTGTTTCTTCACTGGATCTGCACAGAGTTATCTATCCTTGAACCTAAGAAGCCATATATGCCAACCCACATATTATTACCCCAGCGCTTAAAAGTGCAACTCAACTAAGGCAATTTTTTCACCGTACAATCCTTCGAGCAATAATTACCTACCAGACCAAATAATCTCTCACAATTGACTATAAAATTGATTCTCCGACTCATTACCTACTTAATATTTAGCAAAAAGAAACATGATTCATAAAGTGTTAAAAATTGATAAAATATCATTATATTCAACCTACCTAATCATACATATCAGTAGCAAACAAAACGCTCTCATTGCATAATTCTGAAATTATAGATCGTGCTAGCTATATTATTCAGTTTACTTTCTAAAAATTCAAAAATAATTCCACTAACATACACAAATCATTCTTTCTACCAAAAAAGATTCATTTCTTTCAATAAAACTGCTACTTTAATCTGGTTAACTCATAATTTCCTCCAAATTCCAAAAAAAATGCTGTTTAATCATTTATCATATCAACACAAATCTATAAACTAATTAACAAATATCATCCACTACACGAACGATTCAGCGAAATCCGCCAAATAAAAGACATAAACTTTCCGCAAGTTTAAAAAAAAAACTCACTAAAGCCATTGTCGACGAGATAATTAAAAGTATGCGCATCGCAATTAAAGGTGAACTTATTATTGTTGCTGTTAGCCGGAAGCTTCTGGAGACACTGATACGCAATAGAATTGAAGTTGCCGCTGAAATCTGTGTGCTCCGCCAAAACCACCGGTCCTCGAGCCACGAACGCGTAGATCAACGACGACTTCTGCTTCGCTGCCATTTCTGCTCCAAAATACTACTCGATCCAATCGATTTTGTAGCTGAAAGTGTGAAAAATCGGCGTATCTTGTGTTTGTTCGGTGAATATTTGTGATTTTGCTTAGCGATTAATCAAGGTAGAAAGGGAGAGAGAAAGAGACCAGACGAAGAGCGTATGAAATTGGGTGCTGACTAGATGTGGACGGTGCAGTCGTCGTTGCTTCTCTCTCTAGTTCTTTTGTAGAGAGAGAGAGAGTGAAAACTGAAAAGGGCAAGCTTGGGGAGGGTTTTAACTTTTAAAAAATGGGAGCGGGGAGGTTTATGAAAAAATTTATTTTGGAAAATAGATGGTTTAGTCCTTAATTTTTTATCCAAAATCGATTTTGCCCCTGATCTTTTCTTTTCTAACTTTGGAGTCCTACAACTTCATTTATTATTTTGTTTTTGAGTTTACACTTTGCAGCACTAGCCACTAACTGCATGTATGATTACTCCACTTAATATTGAAAATTAACTCATTCGAAATTTTTGGGAATTCAATATGTTTGATAATAGAAATGATTTATCACTTAATGTATTAAGCATTGTTTAATTTGTGTATAAAATTTTAAGTGAAAATTTTTCACTAAATCTTTTAAATTGGCTACACATGCTATACCTCTCATACACATAATACATTCTTATATTGTTCTTGCACACGGTATACATTTGTTTTCTTTATGTTCAACATACACAGACACACACATGCACACACTTTCTTACATACAAATGTACATACATAAACACCACCTTTAAATTGTTTTATTATATTCTCTCTCTCTGACACACACACATGCTGATTTTTTTTTCTCTAAATATAAATAATAAAGGCAATTTTTTTAAAAAAAAAACATAAACACAATATTTGTACGATATTTCAATTCAGTATTATAATCCAGTTAGTTATCAAATAGATATAACTTAAACAATTTAGCAACTTACTTTCAGCACTTAATTTTTAGACTTCATAATTCAGATTTCAAACTTCAGTTTTATCAATCACACCTTAGGTTAGTCTTTCTTTTCTACCTATTGTTTTGTAGTGCAAAATTGTGTAATATTAATAAAAATGTTAAAAAGTATCATTGAATTTCAATCCTGATCTCTACAAAGTCTTAAAATTTCCTTCTTGTGTCCTTTTGCATCTTTGAGTAGAGCAAACTATTAAGGAGATTACTATACTGATTGGAAAATAAAATTTTATCTAGGGGTATAAATTAGTTTAAACAAATCAAACACACTAATATTCAAATTTGTTTGATTATTTGGAAGAACTTAAAATTTGAATAAAATTTTGTTTTGTCTAATTCTAGAACCGAGGTCGAACAAGTTTGTATTGAGTCAAACTCAAGTCGAATTCGAGTAGATTGAACTTTTTATATGTAAATTTTACTTATATGCTAATGGAGTCAAGTTTGAGTCGAATTTGAAAGTTTACCAAATAAAATCTGATGTTCAAATTTAGTTTGATTAGCTGGCAAACAAAAAAAGAACAAGTTCTTACCAAATCGAGTTCGATTCGAGTATCGAACAGTTTGGTTCGTCTTTCAATCCTAAATTTGTTTACTCAACAGGTCAAGTTTCAAATAATCAACTCAATTTTTTAATTTTGCTTAAATTTTGACAATCTATTAATTTTTGTAGTTTAATCTTGTTGACTCTATTAATTATGAATGGAGTTGTGTTGACAAATAATAAGTCAAACTGTAAAACATAAAATTCAATTTACGTATGCTCTTACGAAGAAAACAATAGGATACCAAAAAAAAAAAGTATGACAATCAACAAGAGGGAAAAGAAAGACAAGGTCACTTGTTCTGTTTTTTCTCTTTCATTTCCGCAAAAATAGAATATTTGACATAAGTAGACCTCAAAGTTTAACAGAATTAGAAAGACTTAACAGCAAAGAACCATTACTTTACAAAATCAAAAGTTTAGTGTGTAATTTAAAATTTTTATTAGTTAAGTAGCCAAAAACTTAATAATCACAATAGTTTAATGATCTCATAAGTAGTTTTCCTTTTCTTTTGTATGTTTTAGTGTTTAGTACTCTTTTGGGATGCATTTCAAGTCTAGACAAACTAACACAAACCCCAAAAAAAAAAAAAAATCATTAAATTCCATATGTAAAGAGCAAATTACAATTTCGTCTAGGATCTCCTCAAATTCTTATATTTGAATCTTGATTCGGATGTTTATTAGTTTGATCTTAAACTTTGGCTCTACTTCAAGAGTTTGTCAACTTGATCGAAAACTACGATTTAAGCATTTTAGAGCTTATTATAGCAATTGACTCAATGCCTTTAAAGCTTAATCTTGAAGTTAAAAGATCTTATTAACCCATTTCTTGTTTGATTAGTTATATACTCCTTCTTTGTTTCTGATTTTTATGTGCCAGGAATTGAATCCTAAGGCTAGAATTAAGAGCCCATTTGCTTCACTATAAAGATGATTTCTATCTTTCTGGACAGAAAGCATCCATATTATGTACAAATCTATCAAGAACCTAAATACCACCCAGGGTAATAACGTTTTGAAATTCTCATGAGAACCAAAAAGAAACAAGTTATGACCCAGTCGACTACCATTTGTGCACAGGCAACAGAATGAAATTGCTGGAAATCAGCTTAATCAAATGAAAAGATCCCCAGCGCAGATGTTGGGACTGCTCAAATTTACAAAAGCTCAATCAGCTCTGTCAACTCATTTCATGCTTTAAATTCCCTTCAATTCAATGAATATGCAGTCAATTTCATCATTCTATCACTCAGCAGCTGGTCGAATTCTGTAAGAAAAATGACCTCAAGTTTACAATACTTCAGCAACTTTTAAAGAATGGCAACTGAAAACTGCAGAAAATTTGTAGGAAGCTTTAGTTGTGCCATTTGCTGACTCAGCCAAGCAAAAATTATAGCACTAAAACTTCTATCCAAACATGTGATTCAGGCAGTTCCATAGCAGCTAATGCCTATCAAAATAATGTCAAATGACTGATCTTTGTGCTCAATCTTTCATGTAAGAACATGGTTACGCCTTATCTTGTTATGACTCTTACTACTGATAATACCAATCACAATATACAGAAATGTAGAAATAATGCTACAAATCAGACAAACAGCACGACATATATAGATACCATCTGTATTCCATTCGCTTTTGCACTTTCTGCTTCAGCTGAAAATTTTAACTACAGGCAGAGTAAATTGCTAGATAATTTCGACAAGAAGTTAAAGTTGAAGTAACCACATATGCTTATGAAAGGTGAGTTGAGAGAATACAGCTGCATATAAAATGAAAAAAAATTGTTAAAAAAAGAATCCCCACAATCTTAATACTCAAAAACCATCAAGTGGCAAATAATTTTGAGGTTATGGTGTCGTGGTGGAGAGTGGTTGCTGACTAGTCTGCACAATTCTTGTTGCAGCGGGCAGGTGTTGTTTGATGGAGTATTTGAAACTTGAGGGGCCATTGTATTTTATTGTGTTGGGAAACTCTCTTTCACAAACTACTCTGAATTGACTTCGAGATTGGGACTGCACTAGTTGACTTTGCAACCTGATAGCAGCCTGGTTGATTTTATGATTTTGATACATGATCTGAACGAAGTTTCCCCTGATAGCTAGCCAGCTAGATACAATCAATTCCTTCACAAAAATCAGTGGAAAGCCATAACCATCAAGATTAATCAATTTCTTCACTAAAATCAGTAAAAAGCATAGGCCGAGATTATTAGTGCAGATGTCTGCCCTTCACGCTGAAGATCCTTTGAACTATCTGATTGACTTAGAAGATGGGTGCTCTGATCTTGACATGAAGCACAATGTCCAGACGCTTAGACTCCTGATAAGCATCTTGAGGCCTTTTCTCAGGATTTTGTTCGAGTGGCCACTGGAACACCGAGAAATTCAAGAACTTGCGAAGCATATGGTCAATGTGGTCCAAAAGGTGAGTTGGTCCTTTGAGCCCCTGCCACCAGTACGACGCTTGAAACCAGTTGAGGATTCATCAACGAGAATTGCAAAACTGGTCGCTCCCAATTTGAAAACTGTGAAGAGCTTGAAGGAGAATTTTGCTCGCATTATCACCATTTGGACTTCATTTCCAATTGGTATGTACAGTAGGAGGTATGGAGATGAACACCTGATACACTTCTTGGATTCTCTCTTACAAAATCTGAAGGATATCAGTATCATCTGTAAAGCCGAAAGAATTATCGGTCAGAGGGAAGAACTAGCAGAAGTCGAAGAGAGGCTAAAATATTTGAAAACTTTTCTCTGTCTTATTTTTGTGCCATTTAAATTGATTAATGTCGTGGATTCTGTTGTGAAGCTTGCTGCGGAAATCTCATATAAACTTTTCCTCTGTTTTGTGGATGACGAGTTGGTCACCGGTGATCTGACAAGAAAGCTTAATTCTCTCCTGCCGGAGCTCAAAGAGGTTTGTGGTGGATCTGATCCATTAAGATTGCAAGATAAAGAGCTGATGATAAGTGGCGATGTTCTGGGCTTCGTTGACCTTCTCATTTCTAAATTAATGCTTCTGATAACCAAGGCTAGACTCATGGATGAGCTAAAAGTTCAAATTCAGATCCTGGCTGACGAGCTGAGGTCTATTAGGATCAGGCTCATGGATATGCTATTGCAGAATCCCATTCAAGAAATAAAATCTCTTCATCTCCCGATGGTAACTTTGATCGTGGACGCTGGATTCTTCATTTACTTCTCTCCTGATAAAGTGGGGGATGAAGAGTTAACAATGACCAATCATTGGAGTCGTGGCCTTCGTGATTCGCTTGAAGCCGTCCAAACAATCCATCAACAAGCAACTGATTTATTTAAGAAACACTTGCCTCTGTCATTGCAATCTAATTGCCCCGCCAGCAACGAGTTGGAAATCATTGATTTCCTCATACAGAAAATTGAAGGGGCAACTTTCGATTGTCCGTTGAAGCATCAAATTGTAATGTTGAATGAGGAAATGGTAACCTTGAGAAAATGTTTGAGTGGAGTCGCAGAGCTGATGGGGAACTCACGAATGGAATTTCTCTTGACACAGTTTAGGCACGCAGCCTACCAAGCCAATTATGTCCTCAATTCATTGGTGGCTGGTGAAGGATCGCTCTGGCTTCACAGGTTGGGCATCTTTGTCATCACAAACGATATCAAGATACTGCAGAAAGAGGTGAAAACTATCAAGATACTGCAGAAAGAGGTGAAAACTATCAAGATCATGCAGAAAGTGGTGAAAACTATCAAGATGCTGCAGAAAGCGGTGAAAAACACTTGGAAGGTGAATTTGGACGGTGGTGTTGGCAGCGTTTCCAAGGCTTCTACTCATGCTTCAACACAAATTCATCAACCCCAATCTATTAATGCACCTGACTGTTCCAAGGATGGGATGCAAATCAAACTAGAGGAAGATGCTAATAAACTTGTCGGCAGGAAAGATGCAGTAGCAGAAATAGTTGGGCTACTTACTGAAGGATCAAACCAGCTAAAGATTCTCTCTATTGTGGGCATGCCAGGACTAGGTAAGACTACCTTGGCCAATGCTGTATATAAGCATCCTTCTGTTGATACATGCTTTGAGGTTCGTGCATGGGGTAACTTATCTCAAGTTTACCAGAAAGAGACCTTGTTGTCCAGTATATTAGATCAAGTGCATGCCAATCCAAGCCACAACACCAGTGGAAAAGATGTTGGTCAAATGCTTTACCAAAGTTTAAAGCGTAGAAGGTACCTAATTGTGTTAGATAATATATGGGACATAGAGACCTGGAGTGGTTTACGTTCAATTTTCCCTGATGACGAGAATGGGAGTAGAATTTTATTTACTACTCGAAGCCATGGCGTTGCAACACAAGCCAATAGTTTTCCTTATGCTCTTCACCTACTCTCCAACGAAGAGAGCTGTGAATTGCTATGGCTAAAGCTGTTTAATGGAGAAACTTGTCCTCGGGAATTGTCAAGTATCTCAAAGCGCATTGCCTGCAGTTGTAAAGGGCTACCACTTGCAGTGGTTCTGATAGCGGGAGCTCTGAACAGGACAAAGAAAGAAAAAGATTCTTGGGAAAAGGTTGCTAAAACCTTCATCAGGTCGCAAAGCATACAGGAACGAATCTGGGACATCTTAGAAGAAAGCTACAAGCTTTTACCAGATCACTTGAAACCATGCTTCTGGTATTTAGGAACATTTCCAGAGGGCACAACAATTTCTGTATCCAAACTGATGAGGTTGTGGATTTCCGAAGGATTTATTCAGCAGCCAAATTCGGGCCAGAGGAGCTTAATTCAAGAGGCAGAGACTTGCTTGAAGGATCTAATTGATAGAAGCCTCGTACTGGTTACCAGAAAAGGTTCCAAAGGTGGAGTCAAAGAATGTCGCGTTCATGATGTACTACGGGAATTTTGCTTAGCAATACTCAAGCAAGAAAGATATGAAATGCAAGAACACATCTTTCCTGGTGGAATTTCAGTTCTTTATGGTGATTTTAGAAGGCCCGAGCAGAATCTTTTGAGCACTTTCCCTACAACCAAGGAGCCACAGATAAGTTCTTTGACGTACTATGATATGACCGATATAGAAAAAGAATCCAGAGATAGAGAGGATCTGCTTAAACAGAAGGAGTTGAGGGATTTGCATCCTCGAATTAGAGATGGTACTCTCTCTGAACAAGCCATATTCTCTGATTTGATTCCTGTCGGTAGAGGTCTTCTCAGTGAACAGGTGCCTAACCGATATAGACGATTACATTATGGTTTTGTTCTCAAGTATAAATACCTCAGGGTGTTGGATTTGGCAAATGTTCTATTCCAAAATAGCGCCGACACCTCTGATCTCGTCAATATAGCTAATCTGGCTTATCTGAGGTATTTAGCTGTTAGAATTCGGACAACTGAAATCCCCTCTGAAATAGGCAATCTCCGAAACTTGGAAACTTTTCATCTTAGCGGAGCAATTGGTAGAGTCACGTTACCAGAGGCCATTTGGAAGTTGGTATGCTTGCGGGATGTTATAATGGATCATTGTTTCTTCAGTTTCCAGCACTACAGTAGAGAATTTTTTGAGGACTCTTCCCAGCTGGATAACTTAAAATCACTCTCCACGATTTATATATGGCATGGAAATGTTGAGAAGTTGATGCGGATGCTACCTGGTGTTCAGAAGCTAGGATGCATATTTTCAAATTCTTGGCAAGAGTGTTGTGAAGCCAGCAATCTCTTTAAAATGTTGGAGTGCTTGCGTGAGCTTCAATCACTCAAGATGTCCTTCCATGCTATGGCACCATATCCTTTTAAGTTTACTTTACCTTCAAACCTGAAAAAGTTGACAGTATCGAATGCTCGCCTACCATGGGATGAAATTTCAGTCATCGGTCAGCTACCCAACCTTGAGGTTCTGAAACTACTCAGCAAGGCATTCGAGGGACAGGAATGGGACATGAGAGAAGGTGAATTCCAGAGACTGAAGTTCTTGAAACTGGACTCTCTGGATATTGTACAATGGAGTGCCTCTGGCGAGCACCTGCCCTGCCTCGAGCAACTCGTGGTGCTAAGCTGTCAGCGACTCGAGGAGATCCCTTCTTCTTTTGGAGAAATTTCAACTCTACAGTTGATTGAGTTGAAATGGTGCAGCACTTCAGCCAAGGATTCTGTCAAGCAAATTCTAGATGACCAGCGCGATTATGGCAATCATCAGCTCAATGTCACTGTTGTCGGCTAGCAAGGTGGTTACCCATAACCTTCTTGGTTGATGCAGATAGCATATACTCTCACACTTACTTTTGCTTTGCTTCTTGTAATGTCTGTCCTGGTTGAAAGATGTATGTATGCTTCTTTACTGAACTAACTTGTTTGTAACTAACTTGTTTGTCAAACATGACTTGATGAAATTCATGCACTGATTTGGATCCGTTTAATAAACTAGCCGAGTTTAAATGTGTTTGAGAAAAAATCATTGCAAAATGAATTATATTCTGATCAATAATAGTAGCCCAAAATCTTAATGAAAGAAGTGGTGCCATCAGTCAGAGGAGATTCAAACAAAATCATCAGCTAAAAACCAAAGCTTAAGGATACTGCAATCTTTTGAAGTAAACTTTTTTATCAAAATTAATCTATCACCAACTCTGTAAAACCCAGGTAACAATATCTTAGAATTCTTTCAAGTCAACTACCGAACCCAAAATGTATTGAGAAACACCGGAAGCAAAATGAAATGAGTAACGGAAACTACTATCTTGTACTCCAAGCAACAAATTGCCAATCGCTGAAAGTAAACAACTTGTATTCTTACATATGTTTCTGTAGGCTAGGATCGCTCACTGACAACTTTTTCATTAACTTCAAGCAAGTGAAAAGATCCTTATTCCAGATGTTGCAGCTGCTCAGGTTTACTTAGGCTCAGTCAACTCTGTCAACTCATCTCATGCTAAAATTCCTTCTTTTCAAATTGATATGCAGTCAATTTTTTCACTCTATCTGTCAGCAGGTAGTCAAATTCTGCAAGAAAAATGATCTAAACTTTACAATACTTCAGCAAAAGTCAAAGAACAACTGCATAAAATTTGAAGAACTCCCTTTAAGTTTTTGTTGTCCCATTGAAAGCATAAATAAGCAACATGGTAGTTGTAGAATTGATAGCCATGCATACTTTTAGCATGAAAATTTCCATTAAAACAAGAAAATCAGGCAGTTCCAAAGCAGTTAAGTCATATCAAGATAATGCAAAAAAACAGGATCTTTGTGCTCACTCCTTCATGTAAGAATGTGAATACATTTTTTATCTTGCTATGACTGGTAATACCAATCACAGTAGATAGAAGGTGACATAGATCACCATCTGTATTCTATTCCTTTTGCACTTCCTGCTTCAGCTGAAAATTGTAGCTGCAGGCAACCTAAATATCTGTACAATTTCAACAAGAAGTTAAAGTTAAGACAGTCAAATGCCTAGCCGAGAATAAGATTTGACATGACGTGACCACATAAAAACATTCACAGGTCTAAGAACAATGTACACAGAAGTTCAGGAACGCCTTTATCAGCACACTGTGAAACTGTTAATAAGAGAGAAAAATGTAGAAATGCCTATAAAATGCCAAAAAAAAAACTCAATCCTAATAAATCAGAAACCATGAAGTGGGCTACAATAGAGATATGAAGTTAATTCCTGCATCATAGGATTACCAGTGTCTTAAGCTGACCAACTCTATATCGAATATTAGGGTCCCCAATGTTGATCCTTCTCCGTTGGCAAGACGAGTTGGATTGAAAATGGTAGTAAAGAGCCTCTGCCTATCAAAAAACTGAACACCAGAATATAACCAAATTAAGGCATAAATTTGATGGAAAAATTAATTAGATTAGTTGTAGCATATTAAGGAGACATAAGGCAATGGAGCTTTCATAGATGAGATAGAAAAGAAGGTTATTTAAGCTCAACTTAGCCATAAAATATGGTCCACTTTACCTTGGATGCCACTTGTTCACACAAATTTAAGTGAAAATTCTGATATTTAATCTCTCATAGAAACAGAAGACCTTCACTATCTTTTCTAGTAAAAGATCATTCAAATGAACAAATTTAATGGATTACATCATGACACATATAGGTGCAGTATCGTCTCATCTAAACCTCCAGTTCTCCCAGGCTGGGAAAAGTTAATGCATCAATTTGTTTAATTAACCAGACACAGATCCTTTAGAAATCAGAATATACCAGGACTTTCTAGGAAGGAAAATGCATGTGTCTCATGTTACTCATCAAAAGAATCTTCTAAACTCATTCTTGCTTCTCAGTTTTCCACTGCCTGGACGGATAAAGGGGGGAAAGAGAAAAAAGAGAATAGCACATCCTAAAGATATGAGCTCTGAGTTTTGAATTTTTGAGTCCTGCAGAGTTTTACCTGACTTAATTGCCTGACCTGATAGTAATAGAGTTTAAAATATGAACTTATAGCTTGTACTGTTGGCAACTACATCCACATGCACCCTTATGTTAGCATTAGGCTTTAGACACACTACATGCAGAACACTCTTAACCTTGCATTAGCATTGAGATTTAGTCAAATAGAGAACAATTCATCTGTTCTAACAGAATGAGGCTGTTATCATCAAAATTAATATCAGCTTGCAAAGTTCTCCTCAATTCCTTGAAGTTTCATTGCTTGAGGTTGTAACCTCTACTTGCTTGCTTGCTTACTTGGTCATTACAGTATTTTCTGAATAAAGGCTCAACATACACCCTGTGTCTTTCCCTGAATCAAACATTCTCCACCTCTCCAGATGCCTGTAATGTCATCACCATTTCTCTCCTTTAAGGTTTCTCAGAGAGAAAAGGGGAAAGAGGGTAGAAGGCCAGAAAAAAAAAAGGAAGTCCAATCACAACTTGTGTAAAAACTCCCTTCCTCATCAGTCACCTAGCATCAAGCCAAACAGTATAAGATTTAGGAAATCATGGGAAGCCATTGCCGAATGCAACCCATCACAAGTTGACCTAATTAAATGTCAAGGGTGGAGTGAAACCAAATTCCAGTTAGTATGTATGCACTTCACATGTGTTGTTCTAATGCTTTCCTTAACTCCACAAGTTTTTGTCTTTGCAATATTCCTTTAATGATCACCTGCATCTTTTGTTCCACCATCCAACAGTTTGTTTAAGTTCCCAATAAGTTTCTGATATTTGTTTAGAGGATGTAGAGAGAATGTCAATTGGATGCATGAATCCCCAGATATTTTGAAGCTTGACCTTTTTTGCATACACTGTAGAATGACAATAAAATTAAGTAAATATCATCTGCTTGAATGTTTACACTGATCGGCACAAAATAATGCTTATTATATATGACAACAGCAACAACAACAAATCATCTTACATGTTAGCATTCCATGAGAAATTGCAGCAGGAAGTTCCAATAAAACAGTCAAGGCACTCTTAACTATTTCAGAAATGGATTAACCAACAACAACATAAAATAAATCATGGCAACACATCCTGTACATTTCACTAATTATTTCACTCTCAATCTTTGAGTGCCTCATTTATGTTACTCTCAGAACAATCCAGAATAGAAGAGTTAATTTCATTTATCGCCAATCAAACTGCCATTTGAAGTCAAATCTTACCTTATGTTCCACCAACAAATTCACTTCACTAAGAAATTACAGATAATAGTACTTGTGACCAGCTCAGTAAGTAAAACTGTTATGTCTCACTATGTATTCGGAAACTCTTTATTTATTATGCATGTATGTTTGGAGAAATACCAAAAAAAATGCTCCAAATTTCATAAATATTGCTCTTGAAATAACCAAACAACAATTAGGAAACAAAAGAACAAGACTCCATAAATGGTATACATACATTAGGTGGAATGGGTTCTTGAGATGTGCTCTGATATCCTTCAGATGGTGGAATAATGATACGACGAATGCCTCCCACGTTCATTGATCTGACTGCTGATTCGATTCCAGATATGACCTGCAAGATCATTATGTTACAGGACCTCAGTTAGTGCCACTCAAATAGGGCGGGGACAAAAAAAATGGGAGAGAGAGAGGAGAAGATGAAGAAGAAGAGAGGGAAACAAAAAAAAATCTAAAGAGGGAATAATGCTGTTTAGAAAAGGTATCACTCAGTTACCAAATTTGTTTTGTTGATGGAATTCGGTTGAAAGAATAAAATATGCAAGATTTATTTCTGCCCCATAAAGTTTTTCATTTTTATACTTGCATGTGGTGGGAATTAACTAGAATTCAGAGCAGCAAATAGAAGTGGTTTTAACAGCCCATTTATGCGCCAGATGTATAGGCACATTCCCAGTTTCCAAGCATCTTTGAAGCACAACTCTATGCAGCAAGAATATCATCAAAGCTTGAGTTGCAGCAAGAGAATTCACAAGTAATACTGGTGTAGTCGCAAGGCTTTCTCACCTTTCCATTTTCCATTTTGCAATTCCTGATTAGAGTATCTAATAAAAAAATCGCTAGAAGTCTCTTTCTCCTATTTGTTTAAGAATAGAAAAAAAGGTAGAAAGTGGTTAAAAATTCCTAATGTCCTAAACAAACGACTACCATATTTCAGGAAAAAATCAGAAACTATAGTATACCGATTTATTGTACAGCCAAATATGAGAGATCACAGAACACAGACACCATTACCATCAAATGTTGTCCAAATCATTATATAACAGGCACCGTGCGAGTCTACTGGCTGTTCATTGGCTTGTAAAATGCAGCTAATAGAGAGACAAATGTCTCTATGGAAGTGATTGAAAATTACATTTTCAATGTTCATGGAGAAAGAAGGGCATAATGCTGTGAAATGGTTAGGAGAATTAGCAAGAAATCTAGAATTATAAGAAGCAATTTCCGGGATTAAAGGTAAGGGATCAATGCATCGATTTGTAATTTCACATCTAGCAGGGAATGCAGAGAAAAAAAATGTCATCAAGAGGTTTCTTTTGACAATCTTTTGATGACTTACTTTTCCTGAACCAAGGATGAACTCAAAAGGAATTGGTTCGCCTGTCGCATCTTTGTGGTCATATGTAGAATCAAATCGCCATCCTTGTTTTGCTGCTAACCTTCCATAGTAATGAATTGCAACCTTTTCAGTGAACATGGAAAGTAGCATGGTTTAATTTGCAGTGTTCCTTTCTATACCTTAAATGCAGCTTCAGCACAAAGCCTAAAGACATATGCACAAGGACTACAGTAAAGAATCACATCATTGTGCATCTCAGCTACATATTCTTTAACAGCCAAGTGCAGAAAGAGTACAGAACAAAAATATATGGGATTCACAACATATATTTACTCAATCACCCCCTTATCAATGCAACCAAAGCAAGCACTATTAGATCAAAAGAAGGCAACTTGTTCCAGAACTAAAAGCACCATAAAATAATTCAATGTAAATCAGAGGAAATATGAATCAGCATTAATGTCATTTTAAGGTCAAGCAACCTAATTTGCTCGATAGAGAAACGATTTTTATCATTCATAGACAAGTATAACATTCACAAGGATCTTGAGGGAAGGGAAAGTAATAATCTGAACAAACTTCCAAACATAATACTCCACATGTACAGCAATTGTTGTGGAAAGTTGGTACTCAGCTAAAACAATTGAAGAGTATCTCTCTCTTTCTCTACTCTGATGATTCCTTAGAAAGATAGTTTAATGTAAACTGTGCTTCTCTCTGGTTTTTTTAACACATATGATAGACATTGATAAGAACTTAGATGACCAGAGCTGAGAGAGGCCTCTATTCTAAGCTCTTCTGGAGGAAGGTGGATTTCAGTTTACAATAGCAGAGTTTGGTTGTCCTAATCAGAGTCACCGTGACTTGCTACATTCTTGTGCTTCAATAGTAACTATGGTTAGTAATAGAAATTCTATAGCTGTGACTACAAACAGAAAAGGAATGTACATTAGATGCACAAAGTAGGTATGCTCAGTGGTATATTGCATATTGCATGGATAAGGTTTGTTTAGGGAAAATGAGTGTAGCTGTGTTCAACAATACCTGGAATTTGTTCCAGAAGGCTGACTTAATCTGCAACATATGCTAAACAATGGAAAAGTTTCTTCCAAGAGACAAACAATAAAATGAAAATCGTATTGTTGCAAAAGATCAATTTGATTTACAGCTTCTCAGAAAGCACGAAATTCGTGTATTTAGCTAGTTTTTAACAGAATACTATCTAGTCTAATCTTTAAGATGATAGAAAGGATAATTGTTCATTTATTTAGACAAAACTGTATGTACATACCTCCCCATTACTTGTATCTGTAAAATCTACTATTAATACAACAGAGCAACAGAATGCTTCAATCTAGTCTATGAATTGTTTGCATTGATCCTAATTCTTAAAGAACATTTAGAGATTCTAAGGTCCTGAATTTGGGGCATTTTGACCCCATACTAGTTGCCATTCACTTGCTAGGCACATAAGAAAATGTCTCTATTCACTTGGCACAAACAATTTTTCATTTGTATGAATCAAATAATATTAAACATCTCCAAATGGTGCAAATAGGTCATGGAACGTATTATGGGAAAAGAAAGAAGAGACAGATCTAATCACAATTATATCTCAAAGTTGAAAAATTAGCATAAGAAAACCAATAATTTAGAAGAGCTACTTAATAAAAAGCTAGTGAATTTGGGTACCTGGCAACAATTTAACAAACATAATCTCTATCCCCACCCTTCTATTTTTCCTAAATCTTGAGATAAAAGTCTAAAGTTAAGCCTTCAGATAAAATCTCAATATAGTCCAGACAGCTATGTCATTCGAGTTGGTATGGACATGACATACAGATACAGGCGTCAAATTCAAATTCCCCACAACAAAGTTAAATCCCAATAGAGCAACCTGCTAATGGCACCAGCAATATCTCAGTGGTTGTAACTTGTAAGTTTTCAGTTCAATTGAACATTTGAATTACTATTTCTTCTAAAGAAATTTAATCACTTCCTCAACTTAGCTAACACTTCCTAATTATAGCTTACAAGCCTTACATAACTGCTTTCTTGGATTACCTCATCTTAAATCCAAAACAGTTAAACTTATGACTCCATAGATGAATAGTAACCTTCTTCGTATGACCAAAAGAAGAAAACACCAAAAAAAAAAAAACTAAAAATATACAAAAAAGACCACAGCCCAGTTGCATGTACCTTATCACCATCAGCAGGAATTGCTCCATCACCAAAGCGAAGGTCCAAGGCTTTGACCCCACCTGAATTGGGAAGCTCTACAAAATTCTGCCCTGTGGGTTTGGACCAAGAAGTTGAAGAATTGTCAAGTGACAATTGTTGTATTAAGCCTGAGAGTGATGTGGTGAGTACAAAAACAGATAAAGCTCTTCTTCTTGTAGCTGTTCTTGATGATGCTGATGAAGGGGCAGATGCAGAGATTTTCTGAAGTTGTGGGACAGAAGAAGAAATGGGCTGATTTTTGCATGCAAAGGAAGATGAAGACAATGGTGTTCCAGCAACATGCGCTATCACCATGGCCGTTAAGGCAGTTTGTATTAATCCAAATGGATTCCTCAGTTCTCAGTAGTCAAGCGTTGAAATACCGCAAAGCACATCCTCAAATCGATGTAGTAAAAAGTAAAAACTATCACTCGGTGGAGTTTTCAAAATGGCCCCTAGAATGTTTGGATATCTAAATTTCATGCTTAAAAATCTTTTGCTAGTTTTGTGCAAACTTTTCTCCTCTATCCAATTTAGCAAAGGACAAAGAGATCGACATCACTATTAATGAAAAATCGGATCATTGTTAGATGGATGCGGTTTATTTGAAAGAAGATGTACGTGCCAAAAAAAAAAAAAAAACTCATTAAGAATTTATCTAACTGTAGAATGCTAAACATAAAATTAATTATTTTAAATCACTAGGTAAAAGTATGAGATTGCATTATTGTTAGATTGCAAAGATGGAGCTACAAAGCAAAAAAAAAAAAACTATTCTCTATTTATCTAACAGCAAAATGCCTAGCGTAAAATTAACTTTTTAATTCAGTGGAATATAAGATTTTGAATAAAAAGTATGTCACCTATTTTCTTATATTTTAAGATAGTTTCAAACTTGAATAGAGAATTAAACACAAAAGTGAACACAAAATTATTAAAGTAGCCTAAAACATTTTTTTTTAACAAATTTAACAAATTTGGTTAGTTTACAATTTAATTCAAAACATAAGGTATCGTTTTGTATTTTTTGAAATCACAGGGGGCTTTTATGTATATTAGGTATATCACAAAGGGTTTTTTTGTTTTTAACCCATTTTTTATTCCTACAAGAATTCTTGCAATTTGAAGTTGGTTTTTTTTTTTTTTTTTTTTTGTCGAAACGATAGATGTTTTATAACCTAATCTAGCCTAGTTTTAAGGGGAAGGGGAAGGGGTTCGATGTGAGTACAGACTCCATCGATGAAGATCAATTAAGACCGCCACAAATTGTGGCAAATTTGTGAGAGGCAAGGATTAAACCCCTGACCTCCAGCATCACCTTTAATGGTGATGACCACTGAACCAAATGGCCAGTGGCTTGAAGTTGGTTCAATTGGAGTTTTTTTAACCGTGGGATGCTTTTCGTCAGTCCGTTGATGCAATACAGCAAAATGAATAATACATTCCTTTCATTAAAGCAAGGCCCAATTGTCTGATAACGTTTCTTATTATTTTTTTTAATAAAACACATTTAGCTTAACCAGGCAACACTAAAAGTCAAATTCCACACCACATAATTGACTTGCTTCAAGTATTGCCAGGACGCAAATTGTTGGACGAAATTATGCCAAAAGAAGTCAATTAGTGCATAAACATAAAAATGAAATGGTTAGAAGAGGGATTTTGTCCAGAAATTCGCCAAAAAATAAAGCGCCCTCGCCGTCTGTGGGAATCGAACCCACGACCACGTGGTTAAAAGCCACGCGCTCTACCGGCTGAGCTAAGACGGCCTAGTGGCAATTTATACTTTAAAATATAATTATGTTATTCTCAATTTCTAAAAAAATGACGGAAAATGAAAATCAGGAGAGTCTCCTGCGGCCTCCTCACGGCTTCAAGTGAGTTCTAGAGATAGCGCCTCCCTCTTTTTCCCCTTTCCTCCAAATAAATTTGAAAATATATAAAGGCTTCTTCTTCTTCAGCTGTCTTGAGCAAATAATATTCGGCGGCTGAGCATTTTTTCTGAATTCAAATTCCCATTTTTGATTGATATCTTCCTTCTAATAATGGAGACAACAACAGAAATTAAGGCAGGGGGAGGAGGAGGAGGAGGAGGAGCAGAGCAGCCGCAAATTGTGGATGTCAGGTCAGTGGTAGAAGCCGTCTCCGCCGCCGCCGCTGACGATGATGCTGCCACTGACGCACCTCTTTATGAGGTCGAAAGCCTCTGCATGCGCTGCGAAGAAAATGTAAGAAGTTCTCTACTTTGCTCTCTAATTAACAATGCTTTGAGTTACAGTTTCCGTTTTTTATGTTGTCGTTCAATTTAGCATATTTGGGGAATGCAAGGGGAAGAAGAAGAGGAAGTAAAGACAAAGGTTTGACTTTTACAGTTATAATTTGGATGCCTTGAGCAAATTGTGAGTTCTGAATTCGATAAAAGATGGATGAATTATTAGTAGATGCTGGAAGTGAAAAGAATTAATGGTTTTCCTGCATTTTTGTGGCTGTGGGGAAAATGTAACTCTTTCTACTTACTCTTTAATCAACTGTAAATTGGGGAATTAGGGACTGCGAGGGAAAAAAGAAAGATAAGACAAAGGTTTGATTTTTACGATTGTAATTAGGAGGTTTTCAATTAATATAGGTGTTATGAAACCGATTAAGGATAGATGAATTAATAGGAGGTGATAAAATTGAAAGGAGTAATGGTTTTCCTGCATTTTTGTGGCTGCATATGTTTATTTCTGGTCATATTGCTCGTTTCAGTTTGTTTTTTGTTGCTGTTTCTATGTTGAACTGTTTTTCGCCCCTTTGTTGGTTAGAGCTTTATCTTTTCAGGTTTCATGATATTTTACTTTCTTTGTTATCAATCTGCAGTCAGAATGACATTGATTTAAGTAAGAAAATTTAGTTTTCTCTTGCTTCTGAAACAGAAGTAGAATGAGATAAGAGTTTTGACGTTTTACTGACATGAGTTCCTCTTTTCTTTGCTAACAGGGCGTAACAAGATTGTTATTGACTGCAATTCCACATTTTAGAAAGGTATATCTCCCTTTGCTGGTATCATAGAAAGGTTTGAGAAAAACAAACCTAGAATTGATTGATTTTGTGTTAATTTTTTTCTTCCATGGGTGATCACGACTTTGGAGAGGAAACCACTTGAATCCAGCACATTCTTACTTAAAAAGTTCCCTCTGCTTGCAGATATTATTGGCAGCATTTGAATGTCCACATTGTGGAGAGAGGTAATTTGTTCCTTCTTCAGCTCGGGATAATAAAAATTAGAAGTTGGGTGGGGCAAATCAGATGGTAGGCTTGTAGGTTCTTATGCTCTTATTACTTTCTTAAAGGAACAATGAAGTGCAGTTTGCTGGTGAACTTCAACCTCGAGGGTGTCATTATTGCCTGAAAATTCCATCAGGTGATCGCCAGGTTGTTGTCAATTAAAGTTTACTAGTTATTACATATATTCTAGTCTTGGAAATGATGATAGTGACTCGACATTTAAAAGGTTTCATTTAAATTACTGCTATCCATGTCATAGCTTATCATTTGTTGACTTTCTCAACAAAGAAGCATTTCATGATATCTAGTTAGACAGCACATAAACTAAGGTTACCAAAAGGTAGAAGCTAATAATACTCTGCTAATAACTTATCAGAAGTGTATATTTTAAGACAATCATGTTACAACCTTGAAACTTTGGGCATGATTCCAGGAGCTTTTTCTTTTCTGTTGTTGTTAAAGCATCTTTTGGTGTCTTGTAGAGTGTGTGAGTGATTATGACAAAATATGTGACTTGGTCCAAAAAAAAAAATGCAAGCTTTTGTGGTAGTTCATCTTATTTTGTGCATCTTTTACGTAGTTTTTGAGGATTTTCTGCTTTGCTACTTTTAAGCTTGATGTCTCATAATTAACCAACTGAATCCAGATATGACTCATATCTTCTACCTAGTTCTGTAAATTGACTTCTGGTACTCTTGGTAAAACTTCCTGTTGATTTGAGAGACTGATTGTGCCACATTGAACTTCATGATCCGGCATATGATGTTGCTTAGTCAGTGATGGATTTGATTCTGTATGCCAGTGTACTTATTTGATGTTCTTTTATATCTGTGGACCCATTTCATCACTCTTTCTTATAAGTTGAAAATGTTTTGTCTGTTTGATCTAGTGGCAGGTGCTTTTTCTTGCTTTCCTCAAGCTCCCTTTGCTGGCATTACAGTTTATGGATTATTTTTCTTGATGATTTTTGCCAATTCTTTAATTGAATGCTTCTCAAACTGTTACATTTGGAATTTACATTTCTAGGCCTCTTTGGCTTTCTTCTTCTTGTTATATTGATACTTTTGATGTATATAATTCCTAAATTATTTGATTTGTACTAATTGTTCAGCATTTTTAATTTACTTTTTGGATCATGTCTTGAACAAGGATGACTGGAAATTTAATTTTGTTGCAGATGCTGAATCGTCAAGTGGTTAAATCCGAGTCGGCCACTATCAAGGTATTCTATTAGAGAGTTATTCAAGATAAGGCACACAACTGTACCCTATCTTAGCAGTTGTATAACTGCTGCAAGTCTGTTATATGTAGTTCAAGTTATTCTTTCTTCCGGCAGTCTAGTAAAGGACATTTGGTTGTATACTTGATTAGATGCAGTATGGGAGCTTTGCTAAGTTTTAACACCTAATACATGACCCTGAGCATCTTTTGCATTTGTGCTTCATGTTCCAGTTGGGCTTTCTAAACAAAGGTTTCCTTTTTACGTTATGCTTACTATACATTTTCCTGTTCATGTATTTTTGCAGATCCCTGAACTAGATTTCGAGATCCCTCCTGAGGCTCAGCGTGGCTCTTTGTCCACGGTACAATTTTTCAAACCTTCTTAGCAATGCTAGAATTTGGTTAGCAATTTGAACAATTTCACTCCTAGTATGTCTTTAGGCCGGGTCAAAGCAGTCTGCAGAATTTTTGGGTGTTTCCTGTGGTCTTGCTTTGAAATTGAAAGGCTGTGTTATTTTTGCATGAGTGAAAGAGGTGTTGCAATTGTATTTGGGTATAGGAAGCAGTACTAACTCTTGAGGAGATTCTCCCACCGTTGCTATAATTTGAGCTATTCGCCATAGTTTTCCCAATCAATTGTTACATAAGTATCTGTATTGTATTTAGATACTGGTAATCTAACAAAACCAAGTATGATCTGTTTTTGCAAATTATGATACATAAACAAAAAAAGTTTATGCTCCAAAACCTCTCCTCAAAATTTTGTCTTGAATTGAAGTCAAATGAATTCCAGTGCTATCCCAGGGTGCAGTGCTGTTGCTGGAAAGGTACTTAGACAATAAAAGCACTTTCAGAATGTAACTAGTCCACTCTCCATAACTTGA